GTAGACTGAGCCTGAAATACCAGATTCTTCTGATTTGTTGTAACATGTGCAGGGTTACAGTAGGTGGAGTACTATAGTAAATGAGTATTAATTTCACAGTAGGAAGCATCTTTACAAGTACGCCTTAAGTTTTTATACATACCTAAGTCTTGAACAGTTAATATTAAAAAGGTGGTATAGGAATCCTATATAAAATACTTACTTAAGGCTTTAGTTAACAGGGGAGATTAGAGAAACACTCCATTTTTAATTAGAAATATTTTAAAATGTATAATTAATCATCCTTCCCAGTTATCCGTTAATCTGGAATGGCCTACTCAGATTTCTAAAAGTGATATGGGAGTGGGCAAACTGATCGCAAATTTAATTTGCTCAAGTACAGGATGTTAAAATGGCAAAAACAAACTACAAGTCTAAAATGGGAAACACTGAGATTGGAGAAAAGGTTGAAGCATTTATATTGAAACAATTGAATCTTCTCGACCTTATAAGGAAGCAGTTGAAAAGGAAATAATAATGGTAGCGTACACTTAATAAAAGAATTATCAAGGTACATGTTTAAACTCTACAGTGCACTAGTATGATTTTATAAAGATTCTCTAACAATTCAGAATATTGTGTGCAATTCTGCTCAACAGCAGTTAGAAATATATATAAGATGATTGTATGATGATATAACATGTTGTCCCGGAATCATTTCAGAGTAATTCATAGAATCAAAGGATTCTCCTTCACTGGCAGGCAAAATAACCACACCTTTTTTGTCCTGAATAGTGAAGACTGCTAAGAGACATGGTTCAGGCATTCAGACATTCAGAATCCCTTAAAGTATTAACAAATTCAGTTCTATGGACTTATTCAGAACCAACTGTAAAACATGAAAATGTAAACTTAAAGTGTGTTTAATACCAAAATGTGAGGAGCTTCTTGTGTACACACGAGGATGTGGGAGGAGCTAGCTGCCCTGTTGTTGACTGCTAACCTGCTTTCGGGATGATTGGATAAGTATCTTGGCTCAGTTAGCTGAAAAAAGAGCTAGATGGGCCAAGCAACCTTATCTTGTTTGCACCAGTCCTTATGTACTAAAAACCTCTCTTTGACAGTTGTCCAGATGTGTACCATCTCCTGGGAACTCCTTGCCATCTTAAGCTAGGATAATAGCCTGGAGAGTAACAAATACAGCACTGCTTAAATCCTGTTTCACTTCCTGTAAGATCTGAGTGGGTGTATTCCAATGACTGAAGTGTAGCAAACCGCATTCCTTAGTGCAGTTTCACCTCCAGTGAGATCTGACTTGGCTGTGCTGATCTTCCAGTGACTTGCTGCCAGTTTGTGAGCCAGAATGCATCATTGCATAGTACTGTTGCAGGTTTTGATTCTGCCAATCATTTTATTTAGAACCTTAAATAATAGTACATTGAATCCCACTTTCCAAACGATTTTTACCATTCGTGTTCCCTTGGTAGCAGCATTTAGTAATAGTAAAAAATCTGCTAAATGACACCAGTTGCACTCATTCAGCAGGCCTATTCATCATGATCCCAGACAAGCATCTGCTATTGGCAGCAAGCACAGTGGCCCAAGCAGCTGGGCCTTGCCTGTCCGCAGAATTGCCTGCTTGTCCTTGTTAGTGCTGCAGCATCAGTGAGCTAGGAAGCCTGATGTCTTAATCTAAGCAGAACAGATGGTCTTGAGGTATCCTGACATTTGTCAGAGTATTGTGAGCAGATACTGTTGCCAGATTTAATTAGGAGACCTAAATTGTAGTGAACAGTACCAGGCTGATTTCAAGCCTTCTGTTGCAGTATTCAGGGTGCCCCAAGAATTTCAAAACATTTTTTTTACCTGCTATTTAGGCTGTGACAGGAGCTGTGACAAACTGCCAAAGATTATGGGTACATCATTCACAAAACACAGCGTACTGTAGTCATCTTAGCGATCTCATACTGCACACTACTGCATATTTGTGCAACATTTTTACCTTTCCCTTGAAATTAATAATTAATTCCTGACACTTATATAGCGCTTTTCTGGATACGCTGCTCAAAGCACTTTATGGGTAATGGGAGCTCCCCTTCAAAACCACCAATGTGCAACCCCTGCCTGGATGATTACATCAAGCTTCTTTAGACTTCACTTGAGGCTGACATGTTAGATGCCGCATGCTGTACTACCAGTCTCTTAATCCTTGGCATTATGACGTTTAAGAATACAGATACCTCCTGCTTATGTAATATTTGAACAACCAGAAGTTAGCTAGAACACACTCTTATATGGTTGAAGTAACTGTTAACATTATTTCTGTACTGTAATAATACAAAGTTACACTTAAAATAGTGTTCTGTTCAGTACTTTAATAAAATGAAAACCTGTACTCTTGCATACTAATTGTATGTTGCTTTTTGTTGCATTAGGTTGTTGCATTTACCACATGACTTGGATAGTTTTCAGTCTAGAAGGGTAAATCTTCAAGCAAACATAAATTATTCCAGATAGTGCACACATGCGTTTTTCATCATTGCCTCACGGGCGTAAGACAGACTGCCTGGGCTATATGTGATGTGTTTGCAAAACTTTTTATGTAAATTTGTGGTCGGTATGCTTTCTTTATTTAGCATAAAGTTCACTGCTCTGCTGTGGTAGTTACTCATAAATGACCACATGCTGCCTGGCCTATATGTGATGTTTCTACCTGCAGAGAGAGCTTATATGTATGAAATGAATGTAATGCAGCCAGACAAATGGGTGGCTTTTGCTTTGGAATTTTCATTGCTGTTCATGTTTTCTGCAATATGTACCAGTCACTGTAACTAGGTGTTTAGGGGTGGTTTCTGATGGTTATCTATATTATGAATGCCCCTTGCTCTTCTTGGAAAGACCAAACCACAACATAAGTAATGGAGAACTGCTGACTGTAGCAGTTCTGTAAGGATGTCATTACAGAAGCTATAACTACAAACCATTTTTGGAAGAGCCCAGATGCTAATTAGCAATAGTATTTCAGATAGCTGGTGAAGTCTTGGGGAATAAACACTTTCACATACTGTCAAACATGCCAGTGTAGTTCAGTCAGGCTATGCTATTTGTTAACTTATCTGTTGCAAACTGTTCACTTTCAGATAGACTGTGTGGATGACTGGGAAGCTGATGTTTTGATAATCAAGCTGATTAGCTTGATTTTCTGGCATAATTCAGCACCCTAGCAATGTGTTAGCACTGATACCTGGAAAGAACAGACCATTAAGAGCCACATACTGTAGTTAGAAGAGCTCACAGTAAAATGTGGTCACAGTCTATCAAAGTCACTATCACTAAGCATTTTTCTCTGGTCACTCTGACATAAAGAAAAGGAATAAACCTGAATCTGATGTAGCAGTACTTGCCAGCACCTGCACTGGCAGTCTGCCCAGTTATTTGTTACTAGGGAAATTGTGCTTTTCTTTTTTCATTTTTTACAAGGATAAACAATAGGAGGAAGCTATGATTTGTGTGTGGAGAAGCTTTTCAGAAAGATATGCTTAACTCTTTAACTGTTACTGTCACACAAGGGAATCAAAGTAAAGGCAGAATAGACTAGTTACTCGTACTTTTGTCATTTCACTAGAGAACAGGCAAAAAATATCATTTGGGAAGTTCTTGTTCAAAGTAAGGGAAAGGGGTGTGTCATCTACCCAGATGAATTGGTGTTAACTCGGTGTTACAGCTTGCTGTATTTCAGACAAACAAACATTTTCCTAGCAAAGTGGTGCATCAAAACAGACCCAGATGTGAGAATGCGTAAGATGTGTTTGACCATTTTGTAGAATAACTGTTTTTAAATATAGCTGCTAGTCCTGCTGATGTGAACAGTAGAAAGTTTCCTATAGTATTCTAAAGCTCCTCATGAATAGTGTGATATTTGATATGCTTCCTGTGATGCTCATAACTTAGTTTGTCCATTTAAAGTGGTGGAAAACTTTCTCCCTGTATAAAATGTCTCCTCAAACCATCAATGTATTGAGATTCATGAAATTTGAACTAGTTTCATTAGCAGGCTCCCAGTTACCTTCAGCAGTTTGTGAAGAGAAACTAGGTGGGTTTTAAGGGTTGTTTCTGTCCTTTGGAAGAAAGACAATGTGGATTCAGAGTCTCGAAGTGAGTGAACAGTCTGCACCTTGTTTTTGATTAAGAAAGTTACCAACTGACTTATACCAGAGACAGATGTAATTTGGACAACAGCCAACAGCTTGGCCAGTGCAAAGATAGTGGCACTAGGCTAGTGAAGATGCAGATGTTCTCAGGGAGTGGTGTATGTTTGTACAGAGAGCTGGGGCACTTTAGACACAGCTCCATGCTCTTCTGTGTTTAACAGATACAGTCCTCTATCTTCTTGACATTGATGAAGCAGCAGCTTATTTTGAAATCTCCCAATTCATTTTGTAAGCTCAGTTACATTACTAAGCTCTGCATTTCAGTCTCTGGTAAGGCCATTGTACAGTATTTATGTAAATGAAGGGTATGGAAATACTCTGAAGAGGCTGATAGAAAGGAGAGTTTTAGAGTTATTGTTAAGTTGATGTTTTAGATGTTATTAATAGGAGATGACTTCAATATTGTTTTTTAGTGAACTTCTAGTGTATTTAGTGTATTCGTTTTTATTGAGACTTTTCATTTTTGGCAAAGGAAGGTTCTTTTACCCTGCTTTGTTTTTGAAACCTTGTTTTCTGAAGGAGCGTGATGGGGGGGGGAGTTATGAAACTGCAAATTGGTGAAGTTATTCAAAACTTATTTTTTAACTGTAAAGAGCCTGAGAACTTGGAGTGGCAGGCGTTTTCTGGAGTGTTTCTGTGTGGTAACGAAGGCTCTTGATCCGGGTGCCTGGAATCCGTGCCTCTGACAGGAACTGCCTGTCCCCTCACATTGTTGAATGGATACAATAGCCCTCTTGTGCTGCTTGGCTCCGATACTCCAGAATGCTGCTCACAAGCCTCTTCAGAGGTGCACATGAGTACGACCATCATAACTGACTGGGCTTTAGTCAAAGAACTTCAGACTTATGAATAGTCATCATACAGAAAAAAAAGAGGTTGGAAGCCATGTGGTAATTGGGATTGAAGATTGCTTTATTTCCAAAGGACAGAGAGTTCTTAACCTTGTGAGAATACTGGGAGGAAAGCTGATTTCAGATCTTGGACTGGACAACGTCAGCAAGTGCTTAGAATTTTTGTCGTCTTTACACCTTTCTGTTCTTTTACCCTTTTTGCCCTCTCTACATGATGCCATGCCATTTTGGAAAGTGATTAACTTTCTTTCAGTTTTCTCTATGAGGTGAAGGAGCAAAAGTAAAAGAATCTGGAAAGATGTAGGCATATTTGAAAATTGTAATTCACTTGCCAAAGTTCAATGATAATACTTCAAGAACCTCTGAACATCTGTGTCAGCAGCACATAAGTAGTAGGCAACACTGTTTAGGCATCTGGATTCTGTACCTGGAAGACTTGGTTTAAATCCCGGGTGGGGCACTACCCTTGATTAAGGTACTTCACTCCGTACTGTGCTTAGCTGTATGCATGTAAGTGTAAGTCACTTTGGATAAAAGATAAAAGCCAGATATCTAGGGTGGTCACATATTAGAGCCTGTGTGAACGTGGAGATGTCTTGAGTTTCTGTGTTTTTGTCAGTTATCTATTATAATAGATAAGCAACTTGAAGGATTTGCTTCATTAAGAAGCACATGAATTGATTCCTATTGAGCTTTCTGTTCCCCCCTCCCCCCAACATCTTTGAAAGCTGTTTGCTACATATGTGAGGGTCTCATCAAGTTTGAAATTGTTACTTCTTTTGTGGTATATTTGCCTCTGGAAGTCTTCTGTGATTTCCATGCATATTTGTGTACCCAAAGAACAATCAGACCTGCAGGTCATAATAGGAATAGACACTCCTGTTATCCCTTAGCCTTGTGCTAAGTATCCTGCTTAGTATTTGAAAATATACCTGGTTTCTGAATCTGCAAATACAGTGGGCTCAAGAATTGTTGGCAGCCTTGATAAAGATGAATGGAAAAAATTGTATGAAATAAGTAGCACAGATTATTAAACATTAAACATTACCTTATTGGTGAAGATCAACAACCATTTGTCTCTTGGTATTTCAGTTCCTTGCCTTTCTCCATGATGATGGATGACAAAAGGTTTTCTTGAGTTATCTCTTTTTTTATATTCTTGTTAATCAGGAAGTGCAAAAAAACTTTCCTTAAAACCGAGTTGTATTTAAATAAAAATAATTTCATGAAAAAGTTCATTGTTTGACACCGATGTTTCTGATTAAAAACAACATTACTCATTTAAAAAAACATTTTTAAATAATTGTATTGGAATACAAATTTGTAGTAGCCCCATTTTTGGGGACATAAAATAAAGCTCATTATCTGTGGTTTTTTTTTTCATCTTTATCAAGGGTGCCAATGGGACAAGACATTGTGGGGTTCAGTTAGGCTGCTGAGACTGCCACTTGTCAGTCACTAGCTAGGTACCAGAGCTAAACTGAAAAAAAGAAAAAGACGGCTTGCTTGAGAATCCTGCTGCTTTTAAACTCAGACACTCAAGAAATATGCTTCCCCCCTCCCCCACAAGTTTAGGATTGGAGGATGGGATTAACACTGTAAGGTTATACTGCTGGTCTGGACAGTCACTGGTCTGCTGCAGTCTGGCAGGGTTTTTACATTAATCTTCAGTCCCTGAAGCCTTTGAAGAAGGCACATTTTTGCACTGTCCTAAGTTTAGATGTATTCTATTTATAGTTATGCACTAGCATACAAATAATGGACTTGATTAATTCAATTTATATTATGTTGTATGCTGCTTATACTGATTTTTTTCACAAATATATGTTGTGGATTTTAGCATCTGTTCACTGCTACTGAAAAAAACATGACTACAGGCACACTAAGTAAGGGTTTAACACTGGTCTGTAGGAATCCAAGTTCCTATATTCTCTAGATCTGTGCTCATTACCAATGTGACATTCCCTGTTAACCCTGCAGGATTTCTTTTCTTTTTCTTGCTCACAGAGAGAGCTTTCTTGAAGGGAATCTGTTCAGTTTGTACTCTGCTTTAGTAAGAAGAATCCTGGTATGAAGCCTATTTCCTGAAAGGCACTATGGAATAGGATGCTTTACTAGCTTGTCATCTGCTTTTAATATATATAAGACCATAAGACATGTAACGTACAAGAGGTGGCTGTTTGGCCCATCCAACTTATTTGGTAGTAGCTACTTCATTCAAAAATGTAATCCAGCTGATTCTTGAAAAGACCAAGGTTAAAGTAGTTCAGGTGGGTAGCTGCGTCAGTATGCATAGGCTGCAAAGGAACAAGTAATAGATTTATACCATGCTGAAAAGAGAAGAAAGAAAACGCAACGTTTTGGCCGTGGAGCCTTCTTCAGGTGTGACCTGCGCTACGGTTCCTTTAAGACCTAGGTTATTCATTATGCCTGGACATATTTTTCCATGCTTTTTGAGGCCTTTCTGTTAAAACATAATTCATGTTTTAAGTGTGTTTCTGCAGTTGATATATGTAAGTTGTGATTGGTTTCTTTTCCAGGTAATTTTATATCCAAATTTCACTTTTCTTTTTAAGCACCAAATGGAGAGACAATGCACAGCAGACAGTCTTTATAATTTGTTATGTTATAGTGAACTTTGCCAGATATTGAGGTGTACAGTGCTTTAATGCTGCATTTAAAAACTGGCCTCCCCGTGAATGGTATTTATTGACACAGATAATTGTCCACGGTACTATTGACCATACTAATCCACCAGAATTAGCACTGTAACGATTGTAACCCATGGGAACAGTCACTGTAGTGCTTTTATGGCATGGATATATTTTAAAATAAAGTAAATATTGCCTGCTGTGTCTTGAAAGTGATAGGTGCTTTTTATCTGCAGCAGAGGGAATTTGTTTTATCTCCATAAAATGATCTTAAACTTGATTTATCTATGTTTACTAAGGTATCTTATGTTAGTGACTCTGAATCCTGGGCCTGACTGACCAGTGTAGACACAGTCTCCTAGTTTTTGTACTAACTGCACCCTTAACCACTAATAGTTCAGGTGGGTAGCTGCGTCAGCATGCGTAGGCTGCAAAGGAACAAGTAATAGGTTTATTCCATGCTGAAAAAAAGAAGAAAGAGAACAACGTTTCGGCCGTGGAGCCTCTTTATTGAAAAAAAGAAGAAAGAGAACAACGTTTCGGCCGTGGAGCCTTCTTCAGGTG